CAGCAGCGAAACATGTTTAAATATAACAACACTGAGAACTATTGAAATGCAGATTTATTCTTAATGACAAAAACACTGGACATGATGGACGAGTTGTTCATGTTATAATTAATCATCTGGGGTTTTGTTCTGTCTCTCTCTGATCTGAACGGTGACTCCCTAAACCTCAGCACCTGCAGCATCATGAGTCAGTGCTAGTGCAGCCTCTGCAGCTCAGGGGGGGAATTCTGGAGGTTCTGAGCTTCACATGAAACCTGAACATAAACTGAGAATGAGACAAATGCAGATGTGTCTCTGTCTGCAGGTGAAGACTCTGGTGATCAGAGTCACTTTTTTAAAACTGAGTGCAGGTTTCACACTGTCCTTCAGCCTTCAGCAAATCCTTCCTGATTTCCAGAGACAAAAAAGTCCAAACTCTTGTATTTAGACGTCATCTTTCACCTCTGTTGACTTTTGCACCTGGCTGTGGCCTTTCTTTGTGTTGTAAATATCCTCTCAGGTTGAGTGAATACATTACAATACATGACTGCACTTGTCGTTTCCAGACAACAAAGCGTGAGGACTTCCCTTATGAGCGGCGTCCTGAGTCACAGGCGTACATCCCGCCGACAGAGGGAGACTATTACTACACTGCAGCCGTGTGGGGAGGGCTCCTGGACGACATGTACAGGCTGGTCAAGTACGACCTTTGACCTTGTTTTTTTAATGCATGATGTTAGATCAAACACTGTACACATGGACATAGTTAAACCGTGAGCGAGAGTGTTCCAAACAGGAGGTGAGCACATGTGCTTCCAGCTCCATCCACTCTGGCTTCCAATTCACTTTGTATTGAAAAGTGTCACCTCTCTCTCTCTGACTGCTTCTGTCATTTTAGTCTTAAAATGTTTGTATTAACTCACTCTACATGATCCTAAAGCTTTTATTTCACTATTTTGTCTGTAAATCATTAATAACAGACCAATCAGGCGCCTTCTTTCCCCGAGGCTCAACTTTTTTCCCCCCAAAGTGTCACTTAACTGATGTAAAACTCTGATCAACATTAACCACAGGTCAATCCACCAAACCCAGTCAGAATGAGAAACACATGAAAACCTGTCGCATGAGTTTTGATTAAAATCTGTTGGATGTTATTTGTGTTACTCATAGACACTGTGATGAGAAATCACAAGAGGATGCTAAAATTGGAGTGGAAGCAGCGTGGCAGGAAGAAAGTCATCTCAACAAGTAAGTCCCTTTTAAAGTTACACTGTGAGACTTTTCCGCTGGTCTCCATGGAGATGGTATTGCTTTGTGTGGAATGTTCAGAATCAGAAAAGTTTTTAGAAACATTCACAAAGTTGAAACATGACTGGAAAAATGATGCATACTGATGAATCTGTTTGCTGGACACAGACAAAGGTTTATTCTTCCAGTTCTGGTCAGAGACCAACAGCCTCTCCTGTCTCCTCTCACTGTCACTTTGACAGACAGAAATCTTCCACAATGTACGTATTGACAAAACACACGTCAAATGTGAAAAGTGTACAGTAAGCAAAATCTACAACTCAGCTCAATATTGAGTTTGTCTCTGATCTAAAACAAGAAAATCAAGCCCACAGTAGAAAACAATGAAGAGTTAAAGCACAGAAACACACACACACACACACACACACACACACACACACACACACACACACACACACACACACACACACACACACACACACACACACACACACACACACACACACACACACACACACACACACACACACACACACACACACACACACACACTATACACTGAAAATGTGTTGCTCCTCTCTCTGTACCTGCCTCGTCATTTTGGTCTTAAAATGTTGGTAATGACCCACGACACATGATCCTGGGCTTTTTATTTGGTTGTTTTGTCCATTAATAAATTCCTCATTCCCCCTGTAGCTGTAGCATCATGAGCTTGTTTGACTGGAGCTGACGCTGTGGGTGACGTCACACTCACTTGGTCCACTTCTGTACTGTCTGTTCTGTCATCTGTCTTATTATATTTATATTATAACCAGACCAAGTTACAGCTCAGATCTGTGGAGAGGAATGCCTGTTTTTCTAGGTGTTTTTGAGCAATAAAACCACCACTGAATTTAAGAAATGAAGGTCGATCTGTTTAATGTCACACTGTGGAACATTCTAAGCAGAGCAATGACATCCACACAAACAAGAAGGTGACGAACCCAAAACCGAAAAGTGACACAGTTTAGTGTGATATAAGAACTTTAAACAAAAATCTAAATGACTAGAGTGAATGTCTTTACGTTTACTGTGTTATTTTACAGATATTTCCTGTACAACAAACCCACCAAAGTGCTGTCTCCAGAATACCTGTGGTCAGACTACGAACAGGAGTATTCCTGCTGACATCAGGGTGGTCAGGATCGCACAGGTGGTCAAGAACTACCAAGAAGTTAGGCCCAATGGTGGAAACTAGTGTGCACAGACTAAAGTAACTGCTTCTGTATTTCTTACACTGTGGGAAGTCAAATCTTTTTTACAGCTGCAGCTGTTTGAGGAGATGATCAGGAAGAAGACACGCACCATCCAAGAGACGCTGCATCGTTTCAGTTCGTCCCAAACAGATGAAGTGTTGCTCGTCCTTCTGGACAAAGCTCCTGATGTTCCTCTGGACACTGTGACTGTGAACATTGTTCCTTTAAATGATTAAACGTGTTTTTTTCCAACTACGGCCCAAGTGTCTTTTTATGACAAAGGTTTCAGTGTGAGACTTTATCTCTAGTCTTGTTCCACTGGGAGAGTTTTATTCAGACTTTGTACTTTGATATTCAAACTTGCACACACACCGGCACACACACAGGCACACACACTGGCACAAATACATACACACACAGACACACACACACACACACAGTTCTACTGATCACATTGTACTTTGCCATAAAATCTCCAAAAGTTTCATTCACAAATGTTGAACGTGTTTATTTCTATGAGTGTTACCGTCTTACAACACAAATCTGCATTTGCACAAGATCCACCTGCTCCCATCTGTATTAAACATGACTGGCCTATTGATACTTTGCAGTGACATCACGTTGGGGGTGATCTACATGTATGTGTATGGTGGAATGTTCAGCATTTACCATGGTGACACAATGTACATGTAAGCGAGGAATCATTTTAACCTTAGGAGTATTAAAACATTTAACGAACTCGTATTACACTAGTTCCTGATCTGTGTCATCACAAACACATGTACCTGGAGCTGTGTTGTTTCTTTCACATCTGTTTAAAAACCCCAACCCAGCCCTTCACTCTCTGTCACAAGAGAACTCTGTAGAAAATGTACTTGAAGAGGATAATGTGATAGACTACCTGAAGATCTCACTTGTTTGTTGACCCTTGACACTGGAACTTTTAATACAAGATCTCATGATTATGTATGTCTGAAACCTGGCCACACTAGAGCTAAAATGGGAAGAAAAACTTTTGGTCATTTTTTTGGAACATATTTGACATGAAAACTGGACACACTGGAGCCACTACTGCATTTGAAATAATAAACATTTATAATCACACCTCCTCCTGTTTCCAATGTTTTAAATGGACCTACACACGTCATTGTTTAGTTTGAATTGTAAAAGAGGGTCCAGTACTCTCACTGGGACCCTGTACAAATAAACATCATAATAATCACGTGTCAGCTTTAAAGTCCCTGTACCCGTTTTTCCCTTTTTTGAGTAAATGTGTCTTACCCCAGTACAGATATGTTATATAAGCAGCTCTTGAGGTCAACATAAGTCAGCAATGTTGTATTGTCAGAGAATCAGGAAGTGTTATTAACATGCTAGTTGTTGTTGAATGCATGAGGTAAATGTGGAATAACTTTGGACCATTACAAACTGTTGACAATGAAACTAGTTCATTTTGAAAACAGTAAAACCAGGTACAGAGACTTGAAATGTGTGTGAGGGTGTCTCCTGGTGTTTGTCCTCCAGCAGATGAGTGACCTCTTCAGAGTCTGTCTGTCCAGAGCAAAGGACATGTGGATGTCCTCCATCTCCTCCAAACCTCTGGTCTTCTCTCTGCTCATGGAGATAGTGCTGGAGATCAGCAGTCTGTGAAAAGTGCTTACAAACTCATCATGGTGAATAAACAGGATGCTCCGAATGCATAAGGGAAGTGAGGAAGAACTTGCAATTATTACAAAATTCAGCAGCACGTGTCCTGACGAGGACCAGAGGGCGGGACCACGTTACATTGGTTTTAAAATCACTGTATTGGCTCCGTGAGTTTCAGGATTGATTTTAAAGTTCTTTTACTGTTTTTTAAATGTCTTAATGGTCTTGGGCCTTCTTATCTTTCAGAACTGCTTTTACCCTATGAACCCTCGCGGATCCTGCGCTCCTCCGGCAGCAGCTCCTGGTCATTCCCAAAGTCAGGACACACACTCACGGAGAGGAGTCTTTTCAGTACTACGGCTCTCGTCTATGGACCTGCAGCCGGAGGAGCTCAGGGCCAAAGAGAACGTTCATGTTTTTAAGAGCAGGCTCAAGACCCACCTTTTTAGCTCAGCTTTTGATTGAATTCTTATACTTTTACTTGTTTCTACTGTACACATTTTAATATATTTATTTATTTTAGGCATATTTTTAGGATTTCCAGTGTTTCCTCTGTAGGAGCCTCTGTATCAGGAGCAGAGGTCGGCTGTGGCTGTCGGGTTCTGTCATGTGGGCTCCTGGTGGAGGGTTGGTGCTTGGGCTTCATCTCTCCCCTGGGCACTGTGGTGGTTCCTGGTGGTGGTGGACGTCTCTCTGCTCCTGGTGTAGACGGCTCCTCTGATGGTGCTTTCTCAACTGGTTCTCCTGTCGGGTGTCGGGTTGTTTTTAATCACTGTAAAGCACTTTGTGTTACATTTTTGTATGAAAAGCGCTTTATAAATAAAGTTTGATTGATTGATTGATTTGGAGCACTGCAAACTGTTTAAAATAAATGAGTTCTGACAGTGAAAGTCAGGTGCAGCACCTTTAATGAAAATATCCAAGAATTAAAGACGCATGAAGTGTCTTTATTTTACAATAATGTATTTAAAAGCAGCAGATTAATCATTAAATTCACAACATTTCAGTAAGAAAGACAAAAACATTACAATAAGTCCTTCATATGAACACAGGCAGTGCTGTGGAGAGATGATCACAGGTCGAAACCAGGACCAGGACTGAATTAGGACGAAACCAGGACTACACCAGAACTAAACCAGGACTAAACCAGAACGAAACCTTGACTGAAGCTAACATACATTTGTGAACATGTTCTAAGCATCAAAAGTGACCACTGAAAAGAACACATAGAGTAGGCAAGGCAAGGCAAGTTTATTTGTATAGCACATTTTGTACACAAAGTAATTCAAAGTGCTTTACAGAATAAGAAATACATTAAAATCATAATAAAAACAAACCAAAACATAAATAATCATGAAGATTAAAATTTAAAAAGAGAGACATAAATTAAAAAGAAGAGTGTGGAATGAAAACCTTTAAACAGAAATGTTTAGAGTCTGGATTTAAACAGCGTCACAGAAGAGTCTGTCTCACATGTTCAGACTGTTCCAGGTTTTAGCTGCATGAACCTGAAACTCTGACTCCCCTTGTTTAGTTCTGACTCTGGGCACCAGCAGGAGGCCGGTCCCTGAGCTCCTCAGAGTGTGAGATGTTCATATGACACTAACATGTCACAGATGGACTTTGGTGCTCGGCCATGGAGACACTTGTACAAACAGAGACGCTTTAAACTCTATTCTCTGAGCCACAGGAGCCAGTGCAGAGACCTGAGCACAGGACGCATGTGCTCGTACTTCCTAGTTCGAGTAAGGACCCAAGATGCAGCATTCTGGATGTTCTGCAGCTGGGGGGGTCATGGTGTGTGTAGAGGGGGGGCCACAGTGTGTGCAGAGGGCCCAGTGTTTACAGCTCTTAGTTGTTAGGTGTGCACTGGCCTTAACAGTTCCAGTGATGTACTATCTATTGTTAAACCAGGACTAAGATAGGACAGACAGGTCTACATCAGATCTCCACCAGGTCTAAACTCATTTGAAGGTGATGAGGTAGTCGGGGTAGGCGTGGCTGTCGTGGAAGATGATGAACATAGAGGGATTCTGAATGTTGTCCACCACACTGTCGAACTTCTCAGGGGAGCCAGCCTTCTTCAGAGGAGCGTCTATCGTTGTTGAGGTCCCTGTAGTGAAGTCTCCGGTCAAGACGGAGCACAGGTACATGAGCTTCTCACCTGAGGTGTTGGGGCGGGAGTATGTGTCACTACTCGAGTACTGAGCGTTCACCGCAAAGTACGTGCCTTTTCCGTACGCCGTGGCTGTGGAGGGAAACAGCACAAGAGTTTAAACAGGATCACCACTCTGCCACAGGGACACTCTCCACTCAGACATACAAGAGTCACATCCCCCAACTGAGAAGAGGGGACCAGATACACACTCTGTCACAGTTAAGTCTAGTGTCCACTGAGTGATTTTTTTCATCTTTTAAGACTGTTCTCAAATCGTGGGGGTGTGATGCCAGAGGGGGGCGTGTGACCTCGGGGAACATGCTTTTTTTTTTTGCCATACTAGAATAAAGTGTAATTGCACATCCACTACAGTAGTTGGCAGTGACGCTCTCTTTGTCAGAGTGTGCGCAGGAAGTATTAGCTCTATAGGCGAGTTTCATTTTTGACAAAAGTGCACGTTGCATGCTGGGAATTATTTTGATTGGCGGCAAGAAACGCTAATTCAACATGACGGACTGAGCGAGAAAGCACGTAAAGGGTATTGATCCTGGTTATTTATCCACTCTAACGGCAGAGGACCCAAGACCATTTGACCAGAAATTGGTCATAAGCAACAATGGAGCCAAATCACCCTTTTCAACCCCGACAAAAGGTGGAACAAACCAAATTTCTGGTTGGAATCACCAACTACCTGGACAAATATTCACTTTG